TCTTTCTTTCTTTCTCTCTTTCTTTCTTTCTTGCTCTCTTTCTTTCTTTCTTTCTTTCTTTCTTTCTTTCTTTCTTTCAGTCTGTGTCTTTGTTTGTCTGTCTGTCTGTCTGTCTGTCTGTCTGTCTGTCCGTCTGTCTGTGTGTGTATCTGTATGTCTGGTCTGTAAGTGGATGAACCAGAATCAAAGTCTGTAAGTTCAATGGCGTCTGTCTGTCTGTCTGTCTGTCCGTCTGTCTGTCTGTCTGTCTGTCTATTTGTCTGTTTGTCTGTCTGTCTGTCTGTCTGTCCGTATGTCTGTTTGTCAGTTTGTCTGTCTGTCGCCTTGTCTGGTCCATTCGCGGTTAACGGGTCCCCAACTCTTCAGAACTGAAAAATTTGAAGTGTGTTTCAGATATGAAAAAAATGTTTTTTTATTCAGTTGATTTTCATGGTTGAATGTCGGTTTTCCACATGTGAAGGCCGTATGAAACCGTGGTTTTCATTTTCTTTGCAAGTGAGTAAGATCTGAATGTGAGTTTTCCACAGGTGAAGGCCGTATGAAACCGGGGTTTTTAGTTGATTTTCATGGCTGAATGTGAGTTTTCCACAGGTGACCAGGTGAACTGCCTGAACATCTGCACGTGGGCTGAAAATGAATCCGGTGAACTGCCTAAGCATCTGCACGTGGGCTGGACCCTGGTTTCAGACGGTTTAGGCACTTCAGCATGATTCAGAATCTTAATCATGTTCGGAGGTGGCATAGCCACATCTGAAACTGGTTTCAGATGTCTGAAACTGGTTTCAGATGGTTCAGCCACTTCAGTTCCTTCAGAAGCTTCATGTGAACTGCCTGAACATCTGCACCAACATCATGTTTGGACCTTGGTTTCAGATCTGGTGAACTGCCTGAACATCTTCACGAACATCATGTTTGGGCCCTGGTTTCAGATCTGGTGAACTGCCTGAACATCTGAACGTGGGCTGGACCCTGGTTTCAGACGGTTCAGGCACTTCAGCATGATTCATAATTTCAATCCTGTTTGGAGGTGGCATAGCCACATCTGAAACTGATTTCAGATGGTTCAGCCACTTCAGTTCCTTCAGAACGCTTCAGGTGAACTGCCTGAATATCTGGACGAACATCATGTTTGGACGCTGGTTTCAGATCTGGTGAACTGCCTCACCATCTGCACGAATATCATGTTTGCACCCTGGTTTAAGATCTGGTGAACTGCCTTAACATCTTCACGAACATCATGTTTGGACCCTGGTTTCAGATCTGGTGAACTGCCTAAATATCTGCACGTGGGCTGGACCCTGGTTTCAGACGGTTCAGGCACTTCAGCATGATTCAGAATTTCAATCCTGTTTGGAGGTGGCATAGGCACATCTAAAACTGGTTTCAGATGGTTTAGCCACTTCAGTTCCTTCAGAACGCTTCAGGTGAACTGCCTGAACATCTTGACGAACATCATGTTTGGACCCTGGTTTCAGATCTGGTGAACTGCCTGAACATCTG